GATTACAGGCGCGTGCCACCACGCTCAGTCTCAATTGCAGTCTCAGCATGCCGCGGGCCAGCACAGCAGGCCAGGGATGGAACCCCGGCCACTGCACCCGCTTGCAGGCACTTTAATTCACTAAGCTATTTGGCCAGCCCTAAAATCATAATTATACAATTGAAAAAATGTTGATAAATCTATCACATCTAGAGAACCATCACTCAAAAAAGTCAGAGGAGTCACTATACTTATTTCCCACATGATAAATTTGTTTCCTGTTTCTTTGTTTGTTTTGTTTTGTTTTGTTTTGGCCAAACCAGGGATTGAACTCAGGCCCTTGCTCTTGCCAAGCAAGCACTTATTCTACTGAGCTATCTCCCCAGAAGTTTCCTGTTTCAGAATTCTATTTCAGTGAAGTAGTATAATCAGTACTTTTAATAACTGACTTGTGTTACTCAATATTATTTTGTGAGATTCACCAATGTAATTATGCACAATTGTGGCTTTTTACTCATTTATAATATTCCATTGTAGATATTAAAATATGTTTATTTCTTCTTGGCAGATATTTTTGTTGTTTGAAACTATCTCAAATAATGTGCAGTGAATGTTTTTATGCTCACATGTGTCTGGCTTGCATTTCTGTGGGTAGAAATGTTTCCTGGGTCTTGGAGCAGGTATATGCTTTGCTCTAGTGGATACTACCAAACAGGTTTCCAAAGTCATTGGGTCCTTTTTTATTCCAACCAGCAGCGTATGTTATTTACAAACTGGCAAATGCCTAGAGGAGAAAAGTGCTGCCTAACATCTAAGTCAGCTGAATAAGCTTTGTCTTCTCCAGAAACCTGGTGCTAGCAAAAAGTACCTCATAGCCACAGTGTCTGTCTGCCACCTTCAATAAGTTGTTGGTTTTTTTTTTTAATTTTCTTCCAGGCTTTCCAGTATGGCAGTGAGTCTGCAGCAAGTTCCTTTCTTATGCAGGCCCACAACTGGCTTCTTGCCTCCCTTTTCAGGTTGTCAGAGAGGTAGTAAGACTCTGGAGTCATAGCCTTGACTCAAGGCCTGTCAGTTCCTAAAAACTGCCATTCCCTGCTGGTACAGCACGTATTCTGGGCAGAGCTATGCTATCAGAAAGCAGTGCTCAGTACTGATAAAGCAAGACTCACTGGTATCTGTTGAAGGAAAATAAACAAAGTTGTGCTTCAGGTTTGGGTTTTTCCAGAACATCAGCCCATCAATGTTGTTTTCTGGAACCCACAACTCTAAACTCAATTAGGAGGCTCTCCCAACTCCAATTTATGTTGGAGTTATGTCCTTATGATTTTAGAGGACAAAGCCTACCTACTAATACTACTGAATTTCCATCTCCCCTTTGAGATGACGTTCTCAGGCACCTCGATACCACACTGAATGTGGGCGCTGTGAACGAGTGGGGTCCAGCAGCTACAGCAAGAGGGCACTGCCAGCCCACATCACAGGCAGCTCCTGCAGACTCGGGTACTGCGTCGCTGGGCGTTAGGAAGCCTACCTCCTTCAAAAAGGTCTTTTGTTATCTTGGAAATGTTTCAGCTACAAAAATTACACTCAACAAGTTCCTGAATAGAAGCCTTGTTGTGGATTCTGAAGCCTGTTCCTTCCGACATACTGTGAAGCTACATCAGTTTTCACTGCTGTTCTTTCAGCTACTTATTTCAATGGCCAACCCCCCCAACCAGATCACGTATTTCTTTATGACAGAATTCACTATCTACCAGCAGTTGGTTAATTAGTTAATTAACTGTGACCAACATTTCCAGCAGATTTAACTGTTCTTGACTTGCGTGGGTTTGGAAGGGAACTTAGAGCTCCTTTTCTCTATAGGGACCTTTTATTCTGTTTGGTTTTTTGAGACAGGATCTCCCTATGTACTATACTTCAGGCTGACCTTGACCTCACTAAGGAGCCCAGGCTGGCCTCAAACACAAGGTGATCCTTCTGCTCAGCCTCCAGAGTGCTGTGGTTACAGATGTGTGCCACCATGCCAGGCACTTTTGGGACTTTCTTTGTACTCTTAAATATGATGCCGTCCACAAAAGTGGAATGGAATGTGTAACTTGCTTTTCTTTCTATTGTTTGAAGTCTTCAGATGCTGATGGTCTTGGAAGCTTTAGTTCCATGTTACCTGCAAAAGCTGAAGAGGCTGACGTCCCAGGTAGAGACCGTACCTGCTGCCCGGGAGGAGATCGCTGCCATGGCTGCTCTGGCCACATCCCTGCAGGCCCTTTTGTATAGCGTGGAGGTGCTCACCAGGTAATCCCACTGGCAGAAATATCACAGCCTTAAGCCTCATGTGTCCACTGAAAAGATGAAGCCCAGTACGGTAAGGCTTACAATCTCTAAAAGCCTGTCTTTATTTATAGATTCCTTTATTTATAGGTGCCTTTATAGACACCTACTCATCCTCTTGCTGTCCTAACTTCAAGAAGCCCCCAAGTTAACAGTCCCTGAGTGGACAGTACTAAGTGTTCTGAATAGTAATAGCTGTGGTAATAATAATATCCCTACTGTGATCATTAAACACAATTGCATGTAGCTGAGCTGGGTGACAGCTTGAACCCACTGGAAGACAAGTCATTTGTAAAAGAGCCAAGTTAGGGAACATGAAAATGTGAGCCACCTCTTTTAGTAGCTTATGATTTTATGAGATGTCAAATTTCTGCAAATCCAACTAAATTTTTATTATTTTATTTTCATGAAGTTATGGCTTTACACTATAATTGTAGAAACTAAATAACACATACAGACTGCAGGCTGTTATTCTAATAGTAGGATTAACATAGCTTTTGTGAACTAGGACAAAATACTGCCGAGAGGGTTAAGTGATTTGGGAATGGAAGTATAAGTTGGCACAAGAGTTCAGCCCTAAATGTAGTCAAAGAAGTTAGTTCCATCATACTGTTTTGGATGTAGACTACGAAGAGCTGACTGAGCTGCCATGCAGTAAGGATGAAGCAAGTAGAGTCTCTGGATGGTACAGAAGATGGAGCAAGCAGGGAGGCAGGATGCAGGACACTCAGCAGATGATTCGCTTTCCTTCTCCATCCCTTTGAACTTAGGAGGACAGACCCGTCACAGGTGGGAGTGGGGAAATCCTCTTCCTGGGCTTGTTTCTCTGCCCCTGCATTGCATTCTGCTATGTCACGTGTCCAGTGGAGAGTATCATATACTTAGCCCAAAATTCTGTTTATTATTTTCCTTCCTCATCTGCCACAAAAGATGCCAAATTCCCCAACCCCAGCAAATGAGAGTGAGCAGGATTGTTGTTCATGAACTTCAGGGCACGTCGCCTTCCTAGGCATGAGCCACATGCCTGCCTGAGCAAGCAGAATGAAACCCACGGGCCTCATGCAGAGGATCACCTTCAAATGTTCATACGCACCAAAGGAGAGTAAGTGTGGAACAGGCAGATCAGGAAGTCACAACAAATCGCCTCTTCCAGTGAGAAATAGTCCCCAGTTGTTTCTCATTGGAAACTTTGCTGACAGTTTTGTTAAAGTCCAGGAGGAGAACATCCTAAAGATATGCAGGTCGTTTGCACTCACTCTACACACTTCCATTTGTACCCTTTGACTAGCCCCTTCCTGCAGCTACAGAAAAGGTATCCATTTTTCACAAATACTACTTTAGTTATGTCTCCTTATGTTACATACTGTTAGCTCTTTCCTCTTTCCTATCCCTTTTAGGAGGATGTCAATTCATTTATCCAAAATTGATTTATCCAAAGTGCCATAAGGAATTATGGAAGAAGCTCTGCTCTGGTATTTGAAATTCTGTGGCTCTACATATTCCACAGCATTTAATGTTCTTTTTGTAGAGTAAAAGACTTTTTGGTTGGCAATAGTTAAAACAAAATAGGGCTGGAGAGAGGGCCCTGTAGTCTAAGTGCTGGCCACGCAAGCACAAGGACATGGGTTCAGTCCACAGTACTGTGTGCCATGCTGGCCCCAGCTGTGGAAACAAGGCATGGTAGTGCAGGTCTGTAATCCCAGCACTGGGGAGGCTGAGACAGGAGGATCACTCGAAGTTTGAGCTGCATAGTAAGACCCTATGGCAAATAAATAAATAAAAGATTTTTAAATAAAATAAAATAACAAAAAAGCCTTATCGCTTTTACTAAAAGGAGACAAGAATCCCCATTCACTTCCCTACTCCTAATTTCTTTATCTCATGAAAAGAGAAATTCAGAAGGTCTATAGGTGTTATGAAACATCCTATGGGTTCATTTTCTACTGTTTTCTAACATATAACCACAAACTTGAAGACTTAAAACACAACCCATTTATCATCTCAGAGTTCTGTAGGCCAGAGGTCCAGATAGGGGGAGCTGGGTTCTCTGCTCACGTCTCCCAGGATCGAAATCAAAGCACTGGTCACTCCGAGCTCTTACCCTACATACTGTACTGGGCAGGAATCTCATTCCAAGTTCATTCAGGTTTTGGGGCAAATTCAGCTTCACACAACTCTGGCCTGAAGTCTCATTTCCTTATAGGCCCTCAGAGGTGTCACCTCTGCAGGTAGAAGGCCTGTAAGTTCCTCTCACACAGCCCTCCTGTCCTGCCAGCCAGCAGGGGCACCTGGAATCCTTCTCACCCTTAAGATCTTCATCCCAGCCAGAGGAACACTGTTGTAAAGGCTGCTGTGAGCAGACTAAGGCTGTCCAAATAACCTCCCTTCGCCATGATTTGCTTGAAACGTGACATAATCACTGCAGTGACACCTGGCAGCCAGTCTTGGAAGCCGTCATTGAATTTTGCTTGCCACGTGGGGAGAGAATAATCCATGGGATTATTGAAAGTTTACTTGCTGGCTGACACCTACAGAACTGAAGAATGGGCTCTGAACTCTCGATCAGCAGTCATAGGAGCTTGATCATGTATCTTATTTGAAGACTGTAGTTTAACACTCAGAACCAGGAAATCCAACAATCTAAATAATGATGGGCTTACACCACTATGGGAATTAGCATGGCCAATACAGGGCCTGCCCAAGCAAAGGGGAAACATGGAGCAGGGAAGCCCGAAGGTCGTCTGTCCTTTGAAGACTCTAAACCTAACATAAAAGGTACATGAGCTTCAGTAGCATGAAGATTTCATAATATGTCTGTTTTTCTGTTTTGTTTCTTTGTTTGATTTTGATTTGTTTTTGAGACAGGGTCTTGCTATATAGTTCAAGCTGGCCGTGAATTCATGATGTAGCCTAGGCTGGGCTTGAGCTTGTGGTGATTCTCTTATCTTAGCCTTTGAAGCGCTGGGATTATGGGTGTGCATCTCCACGTCCAGATTGTCATTGCTGTTTTGTTCTGGCAATTATCATTGCAGGCCCATGACAGCCCCGCAAATGAGCAGGTGTGATCAAGGGCATAAGGGGACCACCACAGCCAATCACACCATGTCGTCTGGGGTGAACACCAGGTAATTCACCACTTCTTTTTTTCCTGTGCTCTCTCAGTTTCCTACAACCTGAATTTCAGTTATTGGGAATGAAAGGAATCCTGAAAATAGTCAATGTGAAGTGTGAACTATTCCAATGAAAAGAAACACAGATGAGTATTGAGTTACAAGAAAATCAAGGATTTTTTTTTAATTTGTTAAAGAGAAACCCAAACCACAATTTGGAATGGGTATTTGTGTTGGCTTGTTTGCACTGCCATGCTAGGTGGGTTCTGAATTGTTCCAGTGTCATTTCATTTGCCTCCCGGAAAGGCAAATGACGTCATAATAATAGTAGATTTTCATCCCTGGCCTTGATGTTTTGTAGACGTTCTAACCACACTTTGGCTTTGGGCCTCAGACCATGCTTTGATGACTGCATGCTTGAGCTCCTTCCCTCGTTTGGGTGTAACTCAGACACCGACTATGCTAGTTAATGCTCTACCTACTTCCTTCTATCTGTGGGAATGTCTAAATATTCCAAGACACAAAAGAAGTGAAATTACCTTCTCCCTCTAAGGAAGATTTAAGATAGCGCAAGCCCACAGTCGGCTTAAGACACAGTTCTCTTTTCCTAGTAAGGAGTAGTTAGCAAGGAGCTCACAGTTCTTTTTTCCTAGTAGGGAATAGTTAGCAAGGAAAAACTAAATGATTTTCTGCTCTCTCGGAAGCATATTTGAAGCATATATTATTATTTATGTAAACTTCTCCTCATATGTAGTCATTAAAAAGAGGCAAAAATAAATTCAAACCGAACTATAAATTACTTGATCATTGATTCATAAATTAACTTCTTACATTAAGAGAAGATGCTACCATCTAAGTGATAGGGAGACTTCTCTGTGTGTACTGAGTTAAGTTCAAGGACTCGGTGAGTGCAGAAGTCTTCTCATGCTGAGTACTGATTAATCGCGCAACGCAGTAGGTCTTCAGCACTTAAGGAAGGCAGCCATATTTCTTCCTCTGATCACCTGAACCAAAGAACATGGTGTTAAAATAATACCTGAGAGGGGCTGGGGATATACCTCAGAGGCGCAAGTGCCAGCCTGGCAAGCGCAAAGTCCTAAGTTCAATCCCCAGTACCGCAAATAAATAAATAAATAAATAAAATAATACCTGAGAATTCAAAGTTTTCAAAAATGTCTCTGCTTTGAAGAGTTTATTTTGGGAGTCTTGTGTATTTTTCTTTATTTAAAGTGTGTAGGGGCCGGGGAGATGGCTCAATGGAATAAGCGCTTCCTAGGCAAGTGCAAGGGCCTGAGTTCAATCCCCAGTTCCACAAAAAAAAAAAAAAAAAAGTAAAGTGTGTAGCAATGAAGGGCCAGCCAGATAGCTCAGTGGACTAAAGCGCCTGCTTAGGCAGAGCACAGCGGCCGGGGTTTGATCCCTGGTGTGCTGTGCCAGCCCCACCCCTGGGGCATGCTGAGACAGCCATTGAAACAGGGTGTGGTTGTACGTGCCTGTAACCCCAGCACTTGGGAGGCTGTAAACAGAAGAATCACTACGAGTCCAATCTACGTAGTGAGATCCTGTAGACCCTGTCGACCCTGTACTAAATAAATAAATAACTAAATAAAGTGTGTGGCAATGAGATGGCTTTCATAGCAACTCTAATTGCTTTGTATGCGGTAGCTAAGTGAAAGATAAAGATTTCATATTTTAGGGTTAATATGTGTATGTTGATGTTTATCAAAATACATCATCAATGGCTTTTCAAGAAAAATTATATAAGAAGCCTCAGGAGAGGGACACTGTGGCCCTGAGATTCACACATTCTGTTTTTTCTGACTCCTAGGTACCAGGAACCAGGAGCCAAACTGCACTTCATCAGGTACAGAAAGTCCTGCTCAAATTGCACAGCAGTTCTGACCTGTGATCTGGGTAGAGTTCCGCTGGATGTATTCAATGCACTTGAATAGCAAGTCATTCCAACTTGGGATGACAGTCTTTTCTACTGGTCAACTTGGTCCTTCAGATGAGGCTCACCTGCCTCAACCTACGGCCTCCTTAACTCAGGAGCAATCTTGTGATTGTCTTTACATTCTTCTCATAATTGAAATGTGCCCACCAGGCCAGAGAGATAGCTCAGTGGACTAAGCACCTGTTTTGGTAAGTGAAGGGACCAGGGTTCGATCCCTAGTCCCGCATGCCACACCAGCCCTCCCCCGGGGCACTCTGAGCCAGCAACTGAGTCCGGGCTGTAATCCCAGCACTGGAGAGACTGAAAACAGGAGGATCACTACAAGTCCAAGCTGCGTAGTGAGACCCTGTACCAAATACATAAAATTTTTTTAAAAAAGCAAGAAATGTGCCCATCTTTTCAGACCCTCATTGATTTTTTTTGTTTTCCCAGGGAAAACCTTCACTTATTGGAGGAAGGGCAAGGACTGCCCAGAGAGGAGCTGGATGAACGTATTGCTCGGGAAGAATTTAGAAGACCAAGGGAATCCCTCTTGAATATTTGCACAGAATTCTATAAGCACTGTGGGCCAAGGCTGAAGATCTTGCAAAACCTGGCTGGGGAGCCGCGGGTCACTGCCCTGGAGCTGCTAGATGTGAAATCCCACATGAGGTACTGTCCACACTTTCCCTGGGCTGAGTGTGGACACAGCTTGGGCCATGGGTTGGAGTGTGTGTTGGGGTGGGCTGTGGAAATTTTTTCTCCAGGATATCTAGTAGGATACTCGAGATTGTTCCTTGTGACTTGAGTACAAGGAACGTATCATACAGAACCCTTTGGCAAATGTTAGCTAAATATATCTAAAAGAATCTCAGGGTGGACAGAGGAAATGTTCTTAAGGCAGGAAATCACATGTATTTGTTCCTCAATAAAAGGACAAATGAAAATTTCCATCACCTTAATTCAAACTAATGAAGTCTTCTTCCAAATACTATTATTTGCTCAGATTCTAATGTTTTTACAAAAATCCTAGTTATTTTACATGAAAAATATACTACTACTACTTTCTGTTAAGAACCAGATCCCTGTATCTGCCCAAGCAGGCACTTTAATCTGCTAAACTATCTGGCTGGCCCAAGTAGTTTTAATGCTTAGCCATAATGTCTAGCTTGGGCCTGAAGTCCCTTCTGTAATGTTAGTGCATGATATAGCCTTCACCTATTGAAAGTAATGTCCTGCTAAAAATCCTGAACTGCATCAAGCCTGCCATTATTTTCAAGTTTCTACCGCTGGTCCTCCATAGAGAAGCCCCCAGATTAGCTGTCTGTGCAACGGCATTTTCCCCCTCTTGTAGAATACCCTGTTACTGTTACTCATTTATAAAGGGGTTTTTTAAAATTTTTTTTTAATCATTCAGATTTGTGGCAGTTTACAAAAGGTCATTTTAAAAAGTCCTCGAAAGAAAAATTTCATAGAAAGTAAAACGTTTACTTAAAAATTTGGTATAAGTCAAGAGTCCAGTTGTATTCTAGTCATTCAGAAGTTGTTATGTAGCAAAGCATAGCTACTTCCTGATTATTGACTTTTTCAAGATTGCCTTTAAAAAATATAGAAAGAAAAATGAGAGGTAGAAATCTACTTAGCACAGGTGCCTTCCCCGCAGGCCTGCTGCATACTCGAAGCTGTGATCCATGACTGTGGGCACCAGAAGCATCCCAGAGCTTTGCTTCTGGTCTCTCATCAGCCGTGCATCCCGGGGAAGAGCTTATTTCACACTGAGAACATCAGCTCCTGGGCAGTAGGCTCCCGAGAAAGGGCAGAAAAGGGTGGAGTGTTGAATCCTGTTGCTAGAGCAACTGATCAAGTTTTGCTGATCTGAGGGATTCTGTGAACGCAGAAACATCACATACTCAGAGTAAAAAAAAAGTGGCTGCTTTTTTTTTTTAACCAGGGATTGAACTCAGGACCTTGTGCTTGCCAAGCAAGCACTTACTCTACTGAGCTATCTCCCTGCCCCACCCCCCAAGAAATAGCTGCTACAAATAGCCATTTTGTGAGAGAAAGGGGAAAAGATTCCTAAAAGCTGAGATAGACAGAGAGACAGAGACAGAGAGACAGAGACAGACATAATGAATAGAAATACTAAGTGTTATAAAAAGTGTCTCTGTTGAGCCAGGGATGTGGCTCAGCGGTGCAGGACCTGCCTGGCAAGAATGAGGCCCTAAGTTCGATTCCTAGTACCAAAAAAGAAAATAAGGAGAAAAAAAGACCAAAAAGTGTCTGTGACTCCTATACTCAGAGTTGGAGGGTGCAGGGAGTGGAAGTCAGAGAAGACTAGAGCTCCCTCTAGAGGCCAACATTTAGTAAACGTTAAGCAAGCTATAGTTTCAAGTGGCTTAGTTCAGTGCCTAACTCAGATCTAGGATTTGGTAGATACTAATACTAGTAAAAATAACCCAAAGGCTATGCTAGACATTGTGGGTGTAAAGTAAAGTGATGGCCTTCAAAATTATCATAGTCCAATACAAGAGAAAGAGCAGGGAGATAGTTCAGTAGAATAACTGCCTGGCAAGCACAAGGTACTGAGTTCAATCCCCAGTACCATAAATAAATAAATAAATAAATAAATAGGAGATAAAAAATAACAATAGCATGTTATAAGTACTATAGTTCCATGCATAGTTATATATCTACCATTTTTATAAAAGTTTTGAGGTAACTTAGAAAATTACAATGCGCAAAGTGATAGGACCCTCAAATGAGAAAGTCAAACCAATGTGGAAAATAATTATGTCTGTGATACAAGTAACACAAGAAATAAATTGAGATTATATTAAGTGTTAGTCATAACCCATAATTTTGACTTTGAGCTTCTGGATTATCAAAGCAAAAAGTAAAAAGTCAGTTACAAAATTGTAGTGTCAACAAAATGAAAATTAAAGTACTGTATTCTGGTGAAGTAGTATTTTTCACATGTAACAAAGAATAAGAATTATCTCCTGGTTGTGTTTGTTAAAGAGAACGTATGATGGAACACCCTCAGCCACATCCCCAGAGTGGATGAAGGCCTCGCTCTCAGCTCTAGGTGGTCCACCGTAGAAAGCTGATATAGAGACCAGAATGCAGCATGGAAAGGTCACTCAGGAGCATCTAAACTAATAGATGGACAAAAGTTTTAGTGCACAGGGAAAGTTTAGACTAAACACCCTGTATTAGGGCAAGGACACAGAACAAACTTCCAGTAAAGACGGGTCTGCATCCTCTGCAGCCAGATACTCTATGCTGCTGAGTAGTGACAGACCTAAATGCTTTGACCCCATGCCAAGCAAAGTTTATAATTAAAGGATTTTTTTAATATAAATTAACTGTCTCAATGTGTGTGTGTGTGTGAGAGAG